TACAGAAAACGATTACTTCAAGTTATTGCTGCTAAAGGTGGTTCTACAAGCTACTGAATCATAAGGTGTACTTAGTTTTTCACACTTGGCTTCTCCATGTTTGCTTTCTTTTTGTAAAATAAATGATGACATGGTGTAATATGTCATGTGTTGTTCATCTGAGGTTGCATTTACCTACTTCTGAGAACTGCTAAGGACCAGATGATTTTTATTATGTCCTGATACATAAAACGAATTCAAAGAGGGTACACTTTTTTTTTTTCACATGACTGTATATAAAATGTTTAAGATACCAAAAAAATGGTCCAGGCTTGAAAATCCTGACATCAAATCAAGGCATAAACTACCATGAGATAGGAGAAAAGCTTGTTTCAAACTGTGAGAGAAAGTACAAATTGATGATGTTAGTTCTTTGGATTCAGAAAATGAGAATGACTAGATTGTATTAAAATATGTTGACATGTGTATTTCAAATCATGTTCCCCCCACTCCCAAATACATCCACTTTTGTGGGTGTTCCAGAAAATGAAGATTTCTATATCTGTTTGATTGTTAGCATGGAGAACAATGCCTAGAATCTGTAACTGGTGGGGAGGGGGATGTTATATAGTGTTTGGTTCCTTCTATTTTCAGCATTTTTTTTTTCTTAAAACAGGCAAAAATTAACAAATGTTTCACATTTTTAGTTCAGTTGCTTGTAGTTCCATTTATAGCAAACAATAAGTACACATTAAAGTAATTTTAATCACTGTTTGAATGAAATGTTTTTAAATTTTATATGCCAAAATCTTTTTATAAGCAAACCAAGTTCTACATTTTATAAAATAACAAAATATATCTGATAAAATTATGCAGTGAAGGTAGTTAATCTTTCTAGATGTTTTCAAAAAAAAAAAAAAAAGGAAAATAAAGAAAACTTATTTTCTTATTGCTGCCAAATCTCTATCTTTAACTAAGTAGCCCAGAGCTGGTATAGTTAATTCGTCCTCCCCTCCCCCCCCAGCCCCACACTGAAACCAATGTGAGGAGAATGGTAAAAAGTAATGAACAGCTGGTGATGTAATTGACAAGAGTCGACTGTCCTTCTCCCCCAGTTTTAGTTCTGTCTGGTATGAATTGTCATGGTTTTCAAAATGACAAACCATCCATTACTTTCTGTGCCACCACTCAGATTTGAACTATCTTAGCACTGCTTTTTGAATTTCATTGCTAGCAACATTTGGTTTTGAACTAGAATTTATACACACAGCTGCTCAAAATTCACTATGATAATACTTAGACCACTTTTACAGAGCACCCAAATGAAACCTCTGCATAGATGACAGTACTGTAGAAAACTCATTTTCCATTCGTCTTCTCTCTTTAAACTATATGGACTGGCTAATTTATACAGACCATTTATTTTTCATTCTTCAAGTTTTTACACTATGTTTTCCAAACTTACACAGCAATGCTGGAGCGAAGTTTCTGGATATCTTTAGATCTCTTGCTTTCTTCTTTACAAAGAGTGAGCAACTTAATAGGAAATGGGTGGCTAAAAAAAATTGACAAAACAATTTTTAACTATCTGTTTTTCAAAGATGAACAAATTATCTTGACAGCTGTGAAATTATAAACTTACATATTAGCAATTAAGCTAACAAACTACATCAGCATTACCGTGGACTTCTCCTAAAAGGCTCCCATTAATTAGGTCTAGTGAAAACAGGAGGATGAATTGTAATTTTGGTCACAAATATAACCCTCAAATTCTATGCTGATCAGTGTGACAGAAACTATAATGCTATATGATAGACTATATCATTTAAAAATAATCATTATTGCATTCTTCTCTGCCAATAGATTTTAATTGTTAATATTTCAGTTAATCTAAATTTACTTTTTTGAATTTTAATTTTTTGTATTCACATTATATTTAGCTGCCTCAAGTTCAGACTGAGCAGAAAGGCAAGGCACAACTGAAAAAAATATTCATGTAATTCAAAAGTTGTTTAATTTTTACCCAACAAAAATTGATGCCACAGAATTATTTTTTCCTGTATATTCTGTTGTGAAGGCTTGCTTATAATTTCCACATTTAAGCAAAAGTCCATTTGTGTAAACTAATTAATTTGTACAAAAATTGTACAGGGTTGTTTGAAGACTGGATAGAATTTAGTGGAGATTCATTCATTTCATTGAAGTACAATGGCAAAATAGGGAAAGAGGTGAGATTTAGAAAGGAAACGACAATGCAGGCATTCAGCAGATACCAGTCAAGCATCTGGAAAAAATTTAGGGCATGTATTCTTATGAATAAGTCTCCACATTTGAAACAGACCTACTTGCCTTTCTGTCATCTGTTAATTCCACACGGGTAATAATGAACTCTACCCAGTAGGTGAATTCAAATAGTGCAGCCCCTCTGGAGGAAATAGCAAGAATCCTGCTCCTGTGCAGGCAGTACTGCAGCAGAAAGAAAATCAGCGTCTAGGGCAGTGTTGTCCAAACTTGGCCACTTTAAGATGAGTGGACTTCAACTCCCAGAATTCCCCAGCCGCCCATGC